TAACGGTTTATTATTAAAAATACGATAATTCTACCTACATTTTTGAATATAATAATAGAATTTAATTTAATACACATGATATAGTGTGTTATTATTTTTTACAGTAAGCGTATTAACTTTTTAAATAAATTCTCTTTTTTCAGAGTAGGTAATTATTATTATCCAATATACTGCAAGGACATCACAAGATCATTAAAAGAATTAAACCCCCTAATATACTATCACAAAAGTATATGTACAGGTTGATTAATAGAATATTGCTAGGTCATATTATTATTATACAAGATATTATCGTAAACAATATAAATTATTGTATAATTGAGGCCTTCTTTTAACTTGCTATTAAAAGAAATTAACATTTCGGACAATGTTTAATCTGCAGATGGTTAAAATAATAACCAGTTTCGGCAGTTTCAAATCGATTCGGATTTAATCTCAGATTTAATTAATTAGACAGTAATCAAGTTTCAATTATTTTACCTTCAGACGGTTTTATTAAAAAAATGTAATCTATTAGGTATATATTATTATGTATTTATAAGTAACGATACTGTCGATACTAATATATAACCTGTTCCGCGAACCGAGGGAATGACCTCTGCAGAGGACGATATTTTGAGACAGAATAATACGAATATAGATTTTATGGTACGAAATTCTCAAGTCTATATTTTGATTGTGACATTCATCTCTGGTGTAAATATTATGAAAACTCGGCGAATTTCCCTGGCCACGTGTATATTATACTATAATAATACACTAGGCGCATTATATGTATACTTTACTTAGTTAGACTTGTTTGAGTGTTCACTGTTTTCGCATGTCTGCAGTATAATATCACTGATATATGCGCAGATGATAATTTCGCGAAGACTGGGCACCGAACCGACAAGTTGCACGAGTGAAAAACCAATACCTATACTCACTGCAGGATCCCGAACCGATCGTTCGCGGGGAAATATGGAATGCGCCACCACCGTGCGTAGGTACAACAATATTATAATATTGTTAAAGACATGATATATACCAACGAATAAAACATATAATATGATTAACTGGTGTTTTTTTTTCTCGGAGAAAATAAAATAGTTTCACGCGGATCCATTATTTGCAGTGATGGTAGGAGAGAGTTTTTGTGGCGTAACTGCAGCGTGTTCTGATTATCGTCCACACTATAACGTCGCTATAATATTCTAATTTATAATATGGGCTGGCGGGTACCGCAAAGATTGCAGTGGCTCGATAACGATGTGATTAACGAGTGATTTTATAATAAGACACGCGAGCGCGGGGAGGTGCTGATTTCCGAGTGGTCGATCGCAATGGTATACCCGTCGCTGCATTCGTCTACGGGGGCGATGAGTCGCTTAGTCAGTACCACAATTTTATCATGGTTTTGGTGGGGGGGGGCATAAATACACGTACAGATAACGTTATGTTTTTTCTAAACTTATATTGGTACATATAGTGGTGTACTCAGCTCCGCTTTGAGAATCTTTTTTATTTTTCCGGGGAAACTTGGTATAAGACCATTGGATTCTATACAACTACAGTTTTAAATATAAACGAAATAATACAATATATTAAACTATTAAATCATGAAAACAGATTTAAAATTTTGAATTCAACCTGGTGCGGAATAGATTCAGCGTGGAAACAACAAAGTGAGAATTGAGGAAATGATGGACTGAGGGCTAATTGGGATATTTAGAGAATTGTCTAAGGCGAGAAAGCTTTTGCAATGAGAGAAAATAAATGGACATTTAAAAAGGATGTGAGGCATTTCGTAGATGCCAGGAGAATAGGGACGAGCGTATATACTTCTCGGGAATCGTAATTTTAAAGTGGTTCTTATAGGCCTGAAAATCCTATATATAGTAATGTTCCGATGTTCTCGTCGTTTCGACATATTTACCTACTCCGGACATGTCAGATATAATAAAATATAATGTACAATAATATGTACGTATGTAGGCGTATGACTTTGGTACCTATCTATTATTACATAATACCTATATATTAGTATGTTGTATACGCGATGTAACCATGGTATAGCCGTATATCGTATATATTGTCATCGGTCGAATGCCTGTGATTATGTATTCTACACCTACACGAATAGATCGGACAGAGCGTTGCGTATTTGTTGTTACTTACGAGATCCTGGACGTGCTGCGGACAGTGGACGTTTGGAGCGGCGCGTGCAAGAGGGTCGCATGGACCTCGACGGTCAACAGGGTCGTCGTGCGGGTTTGCGTTCTCCGCGGAGGTAATCTAGGTACATATGAATGTGTAAGCACGTCGCGCGAGTGGTCACGGGTCTGCAGTGCGCATTACTCGCGAAGATTACGACGGGCGTGCAACACCCCGCGTGGTGTTCGCGAACGACTCGGCGGCGTTAGTACCGAAACGTCGCGGTCTTCGTCGGCTGGTCAACGTAGAAATAGACAATCAAGAACTATAATAGTAGTGAATATCGGCAATATCGCGTAGGCGTACCGCGGGACTAAAAAACGTAGACACACCCCGAACGAGCGTCGCTATAAATATTAAGATCTTTCGTCAAACAAACATACGACGTCGTCGTGCGGTGTCGTCGCCTATACGCGTCGCGCCGTTATACGGCCAAGTCGTACGATAATAATATTGTATATATTTCAAACAGAACGAGTAACAATCACGGGCGACGGGTAAAACGACGGTTGCGATATTACAATTATTACGACTGATAATAATAATATTATTATTGTTAATGGTATTTGTCGAACAGCCGACGACCGCGGTGCGTGCGTCGTATATTGCGTGTGATCGACGAACAGACACTGAGAGAGCACTGCCGCGGCTGATTATTGACGGCGGGACGACGACGGTGTGCGCGTAACGCGGTCGGCGGCGATCGCCGGGGGACCGGCCGAAAGACTCGCCGCGTCCTCCACCATGCAGCCCGAACCCCGGCCACCTTCCATCGGCCGCAGCGGTCGTCGCCACTCGTCGCCGCCGCCGCCACTACCATTTCGCGCGCGTTCTTCTCCGCGGCGGCCGGTGCAACGCCCCCGTGGACGATCGCTGCGGGTCGACGACGCTGGTTTTTTCACACGGCCGGAACAAAGAGACGCGTCTGCAGGCGGACCCGTCGCACGGTCGCTGCCACTGCGATGTAGAGGAGATTCTTCATCTACGTCGTGGTCGCTGCAAAGGGCACACGTGGGGAGGCGCGCATAGTGGCCGGGTTACCGGGACAGCGGTCGTGGTGAAGGATACACGTTTCGACGGTGGTGAGTTGTAGGTTAGGTTAGGTTACTACTACCGTCTACCACTCTACCATGTTGTTATGTCCTTATACGAATGCCCCAAAAATCCCTAAAAATAAAATAACAATATTATTATTTTATTGCCGTTTTTTAACAGTTGTAACTTTGATATCGGACTATCCGACAATGATTCCATTTTTGTTGAAAAAGCTCATTTAAATCTATTGGTGTGCCACACTGGTGCCACAACGATACCTACATATTATGATTTATGGTGATACAGGACTTTTGGGAAGTGCTCAGTGCTGTATCCCCAAAATCTCGTACGCCGAGCAAAGCTCCCGCTCCAAACACGTTGACATAATATAGCGATTTTCAGTTTTGCTTCAGTGATTGTTATTGAATTATTTATTATCAATGGGATTTTGATGAATTTACATTTATTTTCCTTGTACCTATACAAAAACTTTGTTATAAATGCTACAACAATATCTTTAAATGTTCCTCGTCATATAGATACATATTATTATATATCTCTATAGTAGCACATAAGTCGTCTCATAAGTATTGAGAGTTAAGACTCGCGGCTCTTGTTCTACCCATTTAATATTATATTTTTGATGGGTCAAACATACATGTCTGCCTGCAGTATCGTATAGAGATGATCGGAGGTACTTGCACGTGGGATTCGGATGGAAAATATCTTAATTTTTAATCGTGAAAGTACCAATTCCGTATCGACTGCGATTGTCGACAGACGACGACAACAACTGCAGCACCGGTTGCAGTCAACAGGAAATCGCAGAGATTCCTCAAACATACACGCACTTATAATATATACGCTATTGGGTAGTAGCTCTATAGTCTATACCAATACATATTATATTATTATGACTCATTGTTTGGTATCTGTAAATCCATCACGTCCCGATTGGTATACAACACTCGTTATTGCTTGGCCACCGATACTTCTTTTCAAGCTCTGTAACCAGTTGTTCGGTCTACTTACATTTTCCGAGGTTCACATTAACTGCGAACTCCATCCGTAAACGGATAACTGAGCGTGAGATGTAAAAAATTAAATTATATTATGCAATGACAATATGCTATTGAGTATTGAGTGTATTACTCATTTACTCATAAAACTATAGATTTATAATATATAAAAGCAATTAATTATCATTATAGGGACGACTGTACAAGGAACGAGCTATATAAATCATTATTCAAGTGATTGATTAGGTATATTATTAATTATTATATAGTAAAAGTATTCTCAATTCATACAAACTGTTTATTTAGCAAAGTATTTGTATAAATAATTAACAACGTAATTTTCACATTTACGCAATTAAAAGTAAATTTTTATTACTTAAGAATAAACGTTCGTCAAAGGCACAATAATTTTACATAATTTGAATTATTATGAGTTATAACATAGCACTTTTAAAATATATTTATATTTAAAAAATAATCTTTTTTCTAAGTTTGTATTTTAACAGGCATATACTGATTACATATACAATTATAAATTTATTATAAAATTAAAAAATATAAATGTCATTAAGCTCTAAATACCTACTATTTAATTCTCCCATTAATAATTATTCAATTTTGTTTATAATTATTTATGTTTGAATTCTAAGTTCTACCTATACATTTAACATGATTTAATATAACAAGTACCTGCCTATCGCTTGATAATTAATTTAAAACTATTGATGGTAATAGCTGTCTAGAGCTAATTAGTTAAATATTTCTAGGTATGTAGAAATATTTGGCCATTAATTCTGCAGAGCCAATGTTTGAAATCTCTGAAGTGTCCTTTTTTATATCGTTTAACATTTTAACCCAAACCATCTTTTCTTCCGCTAAGGTCGCCTGTGGAATAATTAGGTAATGCATTTAAATAAGTACCTACATAATATCATACTTGTTATTGTCATGTCATTTTTTATAAGCATATTGTGTTTACTGATCAGAATTTCATATGTATAAGTTTTTGAATGTTAGATAATACATAATCACAAAAAAAATAGTGCTTCAATTTATCTACCTATATCTAACCAGAACATGAAGCATGTTCAAATAATAAAACTTTGAATCAAATAAAAAAGAGAGTAATTTAATTGAGTGACCTAGTATGTGAAGTAATTGTAATCATTAATTTATTTTAAAAAGTAAAGAGGAGACAAAAATAATAATTCTACGTAAACTGTGAACAATTTTTATAAATCTGTCTTCCATACATAGTACAAGTACATACCTACATGGCTACATACCATTACTATAATAGTGTTTTGTTCTCGTACATTCCCACCCACCAACCTACTAAATATGCATACATTTATAATTCTCTTCTTCCTGTTCCATAGCAAAATGAAATTAATAATTTAAATATTAACTCTATATACCTAAAAATATTAAGATAAATTAGCTAACCTCAAAATATTGTCAACTGTTACTTTGAACTTTGGATAAAACAAACAATTAATAAATTATAGGTACTTAAAATTTTAATCAATATGTCTTTAATTGAGTTTTTAATACCAATAGAATTAATTTTCAAAAGTCATATTTATAAGTTATTATAGTAGGAACCAAATGTATTGGTCGATTAATAACAGTTAACAAATAATTAACATTTACATCTACAAGTGTTTATTTTTTAATTTTTATTCAAATAACATAATAATAGAACTGTAGTTAATAGCTTGTACTTAATACAGTTTATAAAAATCCATACGTATTTAAATTATTTTATGACCAGTGAAAACCAAAGTTAATGCCTAAAGAATCAAGATATATAACATACCTACAATCATACAATATTGATATTTGATATCTATATATTTAATTTTTAAACATATATATTTCTAAAATAAAAGTTATAATAACTTTTATTTATTAATAAACCTAACCTACCAAAGCTACAATTAAATCAAATCCTGATCAGTTTTTAAATAATTAATTTAATTTATCAAATATGATAATATGACAATAAATTTACTTGCAATGTAAACGAATGTTTAGGTCCAGCATTGGATACTAAACGAAAACTCAATGGATTTCCTTTCACATGTTCAATAATAGTAACATTCCGACTCTAAAAAAAAAAAAATTAAAAGTCTACCATAATGACATTGCTAGGTATTAAAAACTTACCAATATATGAGCTTTGTATTCCAACAGTCCACATTTTTGTTCTTTGACAATCAATAACATATTGTTCAATATAATCACATGAAGTTTCTTCTTCGTTCCCGCGATCATTAAATCGCCTTCAGCATGTAATTCAAAACAATTGTTAGATAGATCGACCTGTAGATAACAATACATTTTTACAGTTGATTTAAATCATATTACAATTTTGCATTATTATAGTTAACGAAAACGAAACACGAATTATTATTAGAATAAATAATTATTATTTGAATATAATGTCAATCTATTATACTGCAGAGTGCATACAGCTGTAATTACATTTGTTTTATCCTTCAAATGTTGAATCATTAGTCGTATATCCTTAATACGGACTTCTTTTTCATATTTATTTTTCGTTTCATTAATAATTTTAGCTAAAAGGACCATTTTATCATGAGCTTTTACGACTAAAGAGTGATCAGTTTCGTTATCTGAAGTATATGCTGCTAATTTCTGTAAAAAAAAATATATACTGAATTAAAATTGTGAAATATTTTGAGTAAGGTAATAAATTTATTATTAATATAATATAAGCATGATTAATCGTATTTCTAACTCAATACACCGAGAACTCTATGTATATATTTTTATATTGCTGTAAAAACGAATAAAAACGATATCACCGCATGATAAATATTCGTCTGATTTGGTTTTTTGATTATTGTAAAATAACTATAATTAATTATTTGTATTTGTATTACGTATAGTGTATAGTAAAAATATGTGAATATATGTTGGGCAAATGTATTGATCGGTAATGTAGTTCGGTAAAAGTAGTGTGATAAAAGTATTGTCGGCAATATTATGCGCAAATAAGTGTCGGGCTTAGTGCAAAATTTTGTCCATTTGAGCGAATGGAATAGGCATTCCAGAACTCAAAATCGAGTAGAGGGTTGGCACAGACGTTTTGAAACTCTAGTTGGAAAATGTCATGTTGGTATTTACACAATTATAGATGAAATTAAAAAAGAGCAAATTCAAACTGAACGGAGATCTGAAGATATAATTCGTGGAAGGGCACATACTCCAACTCGCAGAGAATACGCTGAAAGAGAAAAACGTATTAGTACAATTATAAATGACAGAGGAAATCGATCAAATTCATCATTTCTAAGGGGAATCGCTCATAACATTAAATTGTAAGAAGTACCTATATGTTTTTATTATTATTGATTTTTGACACATATTTATAATATAATATAATATTTAATTGAAATTTAAAATCATTTTTGACACATATTTATTTATAATACAACTTGATATGTTAGAGAAATATATTATTATTAGTTGTATAATTTTGAATGTGTAATATATGTTATTGAAATTTATTTATTTACATTATAATTTGATATTGTCGGGCAAGTGTAGTATCGGGCAAATATAGTGTCGGGCAAACGTAGTGTCGGGCCAATGTAATGTCGGGCAAATGGTGTCGGGTAATTAAGGTGTCGGGCAACTGAATGTCGGGAAAAAGTACTGATCCCCTGTAAAAAATCTATTTTACTATAAGTACCTAATTATACGTTAGGTTGAATTAATTTTTCCTGAAAATACTGCATTCATTTTATTATTTATTACTACTATTTATAGTAGTATATAATATATTTTATAATCATATGTTATTGTTATTAACTTTTGAGTCAATGCCGGCTGACTGTAGAACGGTGTGAATAAGGCTAGTGGTATATATATGCTTAATAAAATATAATAATATAAGTGAAATATAAGACTATAACTTATAAGAGTTTCAAGTAGGTGCCAACAAATAATAATTTTGAGTTGCAACAAATTGACTTAAATCGTTATTCTTCATCTAAATATATTCAATTTCGTCAAGATATGAACTTCGTAATATGTACAAAAAAAATTGTAATTACATATTTTTTAGATTTTTGGTTTTTAGAAAGAACTACTTATGATTAGGGTTGCCATACGTGCCAATTTGGCCAGGACTGTATATACTCGTTTAAATATAGCGTCCCGTTGTTTCAATAAAGTGTTTCGGCCTTCGGGGCGGCCAATATTGTCTCTATCAAACTTAAATAATTAATGTTAACATATTGTCATTTTGATTTTACTTGACATTTAAAGTAAAAAAAAAAAAACAATATTGTTGAGATAAATAATAAAACAATCTAGTTGATTATTTGATTGCTTCACGAAAACTATTTTAAAATTATTTTCCACCCTTCAGGAAAAAAGAATTGACATTGTCCTTATATCTGAAACCCACTTCACCTCTAACTCGTACGTCAATTTCCCTGGTTACGATTCCTACCGTGCAAACCACCCAGATAACACTGCTCATGCAGGAGCAGCAATATATATAAAATCTTCACTTAAATACATACCACTCCCAAACTTCATATCCGACGACATCCAATCCTGTGCTATATCTCTGATACTTGATAATATCCCTATTACATTCGCAGCTGTTTATTGTCCACCGAAACACAAAATCTCCCCGGCCAGATTCACTGAAATTTTCTCCACACTCAACAATAACTACATCATAGGTGGCGATTTAAATGCAAAGCACCAACAGTGGGGCTGTCGTGCCTCAAACCCCAGAGGAAATTCTCTCCTCCAATCACTACCATCTACCAACTCTACCGTCATTGCACCTCCAAATTACACATACTGGCCTAACTCCCGTCGAAAAATGCCAGACATCCTGGATATCTTCGTCACTAAGATTCCAAGGAACCTCCACACTCAAATATTTAATCTCATTGACCCATGCTCAGACCATTCACCAGTCATGCTTTCACTAGACTGTCTTCCCCAAGCTAAAGCCAACGCCTCAGCTCTATCTCAATTTCCAACTGACTGGGACAAATTCAGTACAATCCTATCGGAAAAAACTTGCCTTAAACTCCGCCTAAAGACTCTCTCTGATATCGACGACGCAGTAAACCTACTCACAACTAATATTCAAACCTCTGTTTGGGACTCAGCCAAACCTGTGCCCTTGCACGTTAAGCCTTCCCCTCATCTTCCCTCCTACATACGAACTCTCATCTCACAAAAACGTCGCGCTCGTGTTATTTGGCAAAGAACTCGATATCCTATCGACAAATCCCTTTACAATGCACTCACCCAAAAGTTGAAACGTCTGCTAGCTAACCTTAAATCGGAGTCTTACGCAAACTATATTTCTTCTCTCACTGGCATGGATGGCTCCCTATGGAAAGCCACTAGGAAACTACTACGAATTCACAATTCTCCCCCTACTCTACGTAATGCTGATGGTAGCTGGGCACTGTCTGAACAATCTCAAGCCAATATATTTGCCAACCACCTATCTAACACATTTCAACCACATCACAGTATTATCTCTCCAACCAAAATCCAGGAAGTTGAAAGCTATCTTAACTCTCCTCTTCCAATGTATCCGCCTCCTAGAGCTTTTACCCCTGGTGAAGTTGAATTTAATCTTAAGAAAAACTCACCGAAAAAATCTCCTGGTTTTGACTTAATTTCGACGGAAGTGGTCAAACACCTTCCCAGAAAAACCATAATTTTCCTAACACAAATTTACAATGCTATGCTTCGTTTATCATACTTTCCTATATTATGGAAATATTCTATCATAATACTAATACCAAAACCAAAAAAACCCCCTGACTGTCCTTCCTCATATAGGCCTATAAGTCTCCTACCAACTCTCTCCAAACAATTTGAAAAACTTTTTCTCAAACGAATACTGCCAATAGTTGATGAAGCTAAAATACTACCTGACTCTCAATTTGGTTTTCGCAACAGTCACTCAACGATCCATCAGATTCATCGCCTGGTTGACAAAATTTCATTTGCCCTAGAGGAAAAATTATACTGCACTGGTGCTTTCCTTGACGTCTCCCAAGCTTTCGATAGAGTCTGGCACTCAGGCCTCCTATATAAATTAAAACCTATCCTTCCTAGTCACTACTATCTGATCCTCAAATCCTACCTCGAAGATCGGTTCTTCTCCGTACGTGTAGGTTCTTCCTTCTCCTCTCCTACTGAAATAAAAGCAGGCGTTCCACAAGGCGCAGTAATTGCTCCCCTACTCTTCAATCTCTACATCTCCGACCAGCCTACTTCACCTCATACCTTAGTCGGTGATTTTGCTGACGACAAAGCCATACTAACAACCAGCCCTGATCCTGTTTTAGCCTCCTCCTACATACAAGATCATCTCTTCTCCCTTGAATCGTGGTACAAAACATGGGGAGTAAAAATGAACGAAACCAAGTCCATCCACGGTACCTTTGCACTTCGTCAAGGAGTATGTCCAACACTTTATCTCAACAACCAACCACTTCCCCCTGCGCAATGCGTACGTTACCTCGGTATCCTTATCGACCGCCGTCTCACTTGGAAACCTCACATAATTAACAAAACTCGTACACTAAATGACCGCTTCCGGCTCCTTCGTCCACTTCTAACATCAAAGCACATGAAACCTTCCAACAAACTCCTGCTCTACAAACTCCTACTCAGACCCATCTGGACTTATGGGATTCAACTATGGGGCGCTGCCAAAATCTCCAACATCAACCGCATTCAAAGATTCCAATCCAAAACTCTACGCACAATTCTAAAAGCACCATTCTATGTCTCTAACCACACCCTCCACACTGATCTCAAAATACCATTTGTCTCTGAACTAGCCAAAACTCATTATAAACGTTTCAATAACCGCCTAGCTCACCATAAGAATCCGTTAATCTCCGACCTATCATCTGCTTCTATCCCAGGTAACCCAGTTAAAAGACTTAAAAGACAGTGGTGTCGCGACCTGCTAGCCTGATTTAGTCCTACTCATGTCGTAGTACCTCCGCTGGGAGGCCTCTACATTCGGGATAATCTGTCATTTATTTTTATTTTATTTTATTTTTACTTTTTATTGTTTTTCTCAGTTGAACAATTAAAAATATTTACTTATTTTCCTGACTTGGTGACGACAATTATTAGGCACTAAAATATGTTCGTTGTTTTCCTACTCTCCCTCGATAATTTTTGTAATCAATTATCGCTAATTGATAATTTTGTTGGTTACTCATTTCAATTTGCTGATTTCTTTGTATAAGGTACCTACTTCCTTTGAATTAGTTTTTACTTACTAACGTATGTCATAGAGTGATGACCGCATTGTGAGTAATATTATATAGTTACGAAAAAATAGCGTGTTCAAACTTTGTGATCGGGGATGGTGCACCATGGTACGATTTTTTCCATAAAAATGATACTAAAAATGTTTGTCTTTGTTTAAGTAAAATAAAATATGGCAACCTTGTATTTTAAATTACTACTTATAGAAATTGAAAATTTCTATTTCTACATTTTTAACTTCAAAATGTTGTCAAAATTTGAATAGACGCTTATAAAAAAAATGCATGCGC